CAGGCTTGCCTTTTGTCACTGCTCCAAATAAATTTGAAGCTCTGGCTGCTCATGATGCTCTGGTTGAGCTCAGTGGAGCCATGAACACCACCGCTTGCAGTCTGATGAAGATAGCAAATGATATTCGTTTTCTGGGTTCTGGTCCTCGGTCAGGTCTGGGAGAGCTGATCTTGCCGGAAAATGAACCAGGAAGCAGTATCATGCCAGGTATCACACAGCTAGAAAATGTTAGAGCTAGACTTGGATTACACTGGGCCTTCTCCGCTTCGGAGTATGTCTCTTTTTGGGTAATGTGATCCCAATGCTGGATGGGGACATGGAGGCACACTTGTTTCAGAATGTCTGTGTGGGACATTTTGGCTTTTTTCCTGGGCTTCAAGGAACATCTTCTAATCAGTTAGAGAAAATGAATCTTAGCAGCATGAATTTCGATTCCTTTGTTAGAAAGTATGTAATGGTTCCTTCCTTCACCATCCAAAGCCAAGAGAATTCTGGAATAGGCTGTGAAAGGGCTCAACAAGGATTGAATAAAAAACAAGCCATATCAAGCTCCTCTTATTTCATGTTTTCCATGAAATTAGCTTGTTAGATAAGGGAAGTGACACAGACACTGGATGTTTGGATCAGCCAGTCATTTGATAGACTCATGTGGTAATCATTAGTTTTAGTGGACAAGTGTGGGCAGTGCTGGTGGATGACTACAGCTGGGTGAGCAGTGACATTTAAGCATGACTAATGCATTGACTTTAGTCTGGAATATCTTGGTAGCAAGCTGAAGGGCTGCCTATTCACCACTTCACTAGTGGCCTGGGGAAGGCAAAGAATACCTACTACTTGTATTAGCAGATAGCAAAAGTGAAGTGACGGCATATCAGATGACAGAATAGAGATTTACAAAGCATTGGTAGGCCAACCTGTACTGCACTGAAACTGAGAAAATAACTGTAGTGAGAAAGGCCTGACTAAATATTGTTTTATTTTATTTTATTTTTTTAGGTATTTAGCACAGGGTCTGCAGGTCTCACTATACAGATTAGACTTGTAGTGATCCTCTTGTTTTCAGCCTCCCAAGTGCTGGGATTACAGGTGTGTTTTACCACGCCCAGTCTTGGGGATTGTTTTAAATCTGTGCATATATAGAACAGGAAGAGATTTTGTTTTAGTTTTTGTGGGTTTAGTTGATTGAAAATCTAGGTGATTGTATAAAAAAGAGAACTAGAGAGTGACCAATAAAGTAATCTTATGTACTGGTCAGAGGAATCTGAGATATTTGTCTCAAACTTGAGTTATGGGAAAGTTATGGAAACTCATGTAAGGAGTAGGAAAGTTCCAGCTTAACAAAGCTCCTGGAAGCATTGGCAAGATGTCTGTTTTGTAAGTGTTCCTGTACCAGCTTCTACTTCTTTGTATTTACGCATCAACTTGGAAGTTACCAGCTCCTCCAAGTTCTGAGAAGGTAGGGCCTGCATATTTCTGACTGTACGTTCAGTACCTGATTTCATAAGTATTTCTAAAATGATTGAAAGCCAGGCAAGTAAGGATCTTTATTTAGTACATAGGGATGTGGCTTCTCACCAGTCATTGAATGATTCAATTTGTGGTGGTTTACCCCCGATCCCTTGGTTAGGTTTGCCCTTGTTTTATTCTGTGGCTTACTTTGTTTAAAGAAATTGTTTCTGTCCTTGTCTCGTTGTTTGACTTAAAACCTAACCTTGACTGATCCGTGGCAGCATGAGTGCATTTACTATGGACTCTGTCCATGATGGTTTTCTTCAAGGCAAGGTGAACCCTACTCAGTGTGAAGCGATGACCATGGTCGCGGCCCAGGTTATGGGGAATCACGTTGCTGTCACCGTTGGAGGCAGCAATGGACATTTTGAGCTGAACGTTTTTAAACCAATGATGGTAAGCTATAAATTCAGTTTTTAATGGTTTTGCCTAAAGACTTATAGTCATTGTTTTGGTCTTCCTTTAGTTTCTAGAGATTCTTCAGTAGGTAAATGGTGGACGGAGCAGCTGGACGTCTGGCCCTTACCATCATGTTCCTGTGAGCTTGAACCCCCAGAGGTTCCTGCACACCTGTCCAGTTGGCCAGCTTGTACCACTGGTCGTACAAAGGGATCTAATCATTTTTATCAGTCTTTATTAAATTAACTAATTAAATCTAGTTAATTAAATTTAGTTAATTTTAGTTAATTTAATTAACTAAATTTTAGTTAATAAATTTAACTAAAAGTCTCATAAGTGGCCTGAATCTAGTTAGTTGCTAAAATTTGAATAACTACTGCCCAAATATAAATATTAATGCTGTTCATAGTAATTAAAAATTATTGCAATAATCAGCAAATGTATGCATTTAATTAAAATAAATATTTATATTTGTGAATTTCTCTAAAACATTTTATACATAAAGATGGCTAATTTGTGTAGGATGTGAAAAAATGTCACAATACTTGGGTCAGAGGATTGAATTCAAATCAGCTGCTTGGCAGTAAGACAGACAGGTTACAGCCCATTGTGAACATGGTAATGTTGGAAGAATGACCTCAGGTACTAGGAATTAGGTGCCTTAGTTCAGATGATCTAATGCTTTTTTAAATAGGAAGAAAAATTATTGCCGAGGACATGGGCCCCACAGTCCTGCGTTCTTCTCAAGCTGTGTCTTTCTCCTTCCTTCAGATTCAGTCTTCCTGAAGTAACCTGTAGTTACTTTCATTTATGCTGTGATCGCTGGAGTCCGACCTCAGTCCCCTCAGCTTGTGCTTAAACTGTTTGCCCATCGCGCGTGACTTCTTCGATCCCATAGGCATCGCGTGGTGCTTCTCTTACAGCGTCTGGTGCTGACAGTCCCTGTGGGAGACATTTTTCCTGCTTGGTTTCTTTCTTTCTTTCTTTCTTTCTTTCTTTCTTTCTTTCTTTCTTTCTATTTATTTATTTAATTCATTTTAATGAGAAAAAAGATAAAATAGATATGAAACAGTTTCAAAACAGGTTAGTAGGACAGTTACAATAATTAATATGTTGCATATTGTTGTCTTTGTAGTAGTTGTTCAGAGGACAAAATGCAGACATGATATCTTGTCTAAGCAATATTAGTACAAACCTTTCTGCTCAGTGAACTAAGAGAAAGTAGCTATATATCCTACCTTTTGTATACATACAGATATATTTTTCTTTTTTTCACAACAAAATGGTCCTTTATACTTAAAATTTCCTCTCTAGCTTTTTTTTTTTTTTTTTTTTTTTTTGGGTAATGTATTTAGTACAGGGTCTCACTACACAGCTCAGACTCGTAGTGATCCTCCTATTTTTCAGCCTCCCAAATGCTGAGATTACGGGCGTGCACACCATGCCCAGTCTATGCTTGGTTTCTTAGTACTCTGTTACCCTCTTCCTGTCTGTTCTCAGCTCCAGTGGTTTTGCCCCCTCCATATGCCTTGGATACACTGTTGTGTCCACTAACACTGTTGTTCTTCAACTTCACAAAGATGGGGCAAGATGATACTATCTTTCATCTGTTTTCCCTGACTTCAGATAATGAAGCTGTGTCCCCATTTAGTCCTTGGTTTGTGTAAAGCATCCCATCTAAAATATCCGTGATGCCTTTTTTCTAGTTTGTGGAGTCTGTAAAGTCTAACTTGATAAGAATATAAAAATGATAAATTCTAATATTCACACAGTAAATTCTCTATTTTACTGTCAAAAACTTCTCTTTATTGTACCATATTCTGGCTGCTCATGGTAGCAATGAATAAGATTTTGTCCCCCTTCCCACCAGGATATAGATTCTTAAGGCCAAAGCAGAATTCAGACCAATAAACTTTTGATTTCAGGTCACATTCCAAGCAGTTAACACCAGCTGCCTGGTGCATAAGTGTGGATAACAACCATGTCTTGTTGGATGTTTATGATTTATTATGGATGAAAGATGATACCATTTTGTTCCATCTTGATAAGATGAAAGAAACTGAACAGTTGAGGGGACATGATAATGTTTCCAAGGCATGTGGAAAAAAGCCCGAGGGGAGAAAGTACTGTCTCATTAATCTTTATTAAAATCAGTATTGTAGTTTTAATGGAAAATAAGATAATCAACATTTGCTTTATGATGATGTTTGATATCTTCTATTAGAGCCAATTGTTGAAAGTATAGGTTTTGGACTTTGGGTTTTAGATCAAAGGATATTAGGATGTGCATATAGCTTAGAACTTACTGTATTTTATTCTATTATTTATTTAGTCTTTTGAGACAAGGTCTCACTCTATAGTTTAGGCTGGCCTTGAACTCACTTTGTATCCCAGGTGGTCTGAAACTTGCAGTGATCCTCCTGCCTCAGCCTCCCAAGTGCTCGGATCGCAGGTGTACACCACCATGCCTGGCTCTCAGTGCATATTTTAAATGTTATCAGGAAGAAACAAATGCCAAAACTACCCATTGATTTTGTATCATCTTCAAACATTCTGTGAAAAGTTTTAAGCATAAAATCCTTAATGATTATTAACAACTGAAAAGCCTTGCCTTTAAGAATTGTCCCAAGCACCTACTGGGCTTGCTAACCTCTGTACCACTGCTCCTGTCTTCTGTGTGGAAGGTCCTTGCCCGTCTAGGCTGTCTGAGTCCTCTGTATCAAGCAGGAGTTCAGCTCTTGCAGCAGAAAATAATTCCCTTCTCTGTGGGTCTTTACACTTCATACCTGTTTTATTTTATATATTTATATTTATGTCTTTTTTCACCACTTTTAGGTTTTTGTGCCCATATGTGTTCATAATTTCTTTCACATTTATTTTCTGTGTTTAGTGCTTGACAGTTTTTCAGAGTGCTATTTATTTCACTGAATTACATGGTTCTTTGAGCCAGCAAATAATATATATCATTTAACAAAAAAAAAGTTTAGTAATATGTTTCTCTCTCTTTCTTTAAAAGATTAAAAATGTATTACACTCAGCCAGGCTTCTGGGGGATGCTTCAGTTTCCTTCACTGAAAACTGTGTGGTGGGGATCCAGGCCAACACGGAAAGGATCAACAAGCTCATGAATGAGTCTCTGATGTTGGTGACAGCTCTTAATCCTCATATAGGTAAGGGCTTACGGAAGAATGACATCTTGAATGTGAAATTAACTTGAAAACTTCAGAGAATGTTGGATCAATATGCATGGGCAGCAAATTCTTGACCAATGTTTGAGTAAACCTTAAAATACAAGAAGTTATATATAAGTTTTATGGTATAGTTTTTTACAAAACTTCATCCATTATACTTTGTGTTATTTGGATTATAGTGTTTAGAACTAGTATTCCAAACATTTAATCTTAATTGAATTCAGATGACAAGTATTTTATGCAGATGCTTGGTTATTCAGAGGACTGGATCGGTACTGTCACTAGGTGGCACTGGCTGAGTAGCAGCAGGAATGAATGCATCCCTGTGCCTTCTCTCGATGCTCTGATTCCCTGACCTTGTTATTTTATATAGTTCAGAAATAGAAAGTTACCAATTAGAAGAAAAAAACTTTATGATTTATTGCTTATAAGGAGTGTAAATATTTTATCTAAAATCATTTTCATATTGCAAGCCTTTTTCTAAACTTAGAATCAACCATAAAGACTTGATTGGCTGACCATAGTAATCCCCATTAAATAGGCTGTTTTGGCTTTTGTAGGTTTTGAGGCATTCCTTGGATTATATTATGATGCGTTAAAAGCCTTTTTTGCCCTTGTTTCTGCTGAGTTGATATTAACAGAGCCATTGACTTTCTATTTTAGAAGTTATGATGTCATTTGGCATAGTGTCGTTACTACTTTAAAACATTCTTTTGTGATCTTGAACTTTGCAAACAGACTTTATTATTCTTGGCTACACATCAAGGTGTAATTTCAGTTTTATAAAGTTAGAGCTCATTAGGTTGCTGTAGGTTCCTCTGAGTCTGATATGATCTCCTAGGGAGTTGTTTGTTTTTTGCTTTTTGGTTTTTTGTTTGTTTGTGGGAGTCTAGTGTTAAGATTGATGAGAATACTTTTATCCATTTAAAATTGTTATGCATCAACATTCAACTGGAAAGAGAAAGGGGACCTAGAATGCCTCATCAGATCCTGAGAAGGTATTATCAAACTTTTAACATAGAGGTGTCCTCTAAAGCTGTATAGATAGACCTTTCTTGCAAATCAATTTAATGTTGGATCGAAACACTTTTATCACAGAGAATATAATGGTGAGCTGTGCACGAGCCATACAGACCTCCAAAATCACACGTTTTCATTGTGTAACAGGTCTTTCATGTCTCGTGGAACTTGAGAACTTAAGGCAGTGTGCGTTAACGCTTAGACTTCAGTGTCATTGTTAACCTAAGAGTGCAGAACCTGTGTTAACCCCGAGAGTCTCCCATGAGCGGTCTTTCGCAGAGTTGCTCTCGTTAGTAAATACCCTCACCAACCTGATTAGGATTCACAGGTTCAGTTGCATAATGAAATCAACTCTATCCAGAGTTTTATAGATGTTTAAGTAGTGCATGCAGACCTGCATCATTTTCTTTGGTCGATGACCATACTGCCCCATCAGACTCTTCCTTTCACTCACATTCCTCCAGTCTTTGCTTGATTTTTGTTTATTCGTGTTAGTTTCATTTTGCCTTCTGATTTTTTAAAATTATATTGAGTCAGACAACATGCAGAACTACATAACTTCTATTAACTCCATAACTTTGTTAACTTAAAAAGATAATCAAGTCAGTAGTATCTTTTGTATAAAAGTACATATTTCTGCTCAGATGTCCCTGGCTATGTCCGTGTAACGCAGAGGCAACAGTTGTGGGGCCCAACAGAAAAGACCAAGGGCAGCTCAGGAAGAAAGGGTCTCAGAAGGGTCTGGGGTCCTGCCTCCCCAGGCTTCCTACCGTCCATGGCCACTCACAGCTGTCTGCCCCACAGTGCTGTATATTCTGACTGGAGCATTTAGCTTGTCAGAGTCTTTATTGCTAAAGAAAAGTTAAAATCTTATTTGTATGTGAGAAATAATAATTATTGAGATAGTCACTGTTAAATATTTTTAAAAATAGAAAGTGTCACATAAGAGGCCCATAGCGTCAATATAAAACAAATAATAATGATTACCTTTTGCTCTAGAAAACCCTATGGTCACTACTAATTCCTATATTGTCCTTTTTTTTAGGGTATGACAAGGCAGCAAAAATTGCTAAAACTGCACACAAAAATGGATCAACCTTAAAGGAAACTGCTATTGAACTTGGCTATCTCACAGCAGAGCAGTTTGATGAGTGGGTAAAACCTAAGGACATGCTGGGTCCAAAGTGATTGAAATACGTTTATAATAACAATAAACTTATGTTAAAATTTTAAAACGGGCTCTGTATTTTTCTAAATAAAAAAGGCTGCATTTGAAAGGATACTGTTAGACCTGCGAATCTCTAGCAGAGTAATTGGATCAGAGTATTAAAAACCTGAGGATGTGATAGATCCAAACTGAATTAAGTAAGTATAAAATAAAATACATTACATAAAAAGACATTTTTCTTTTTATTATTTGAGTTAAATTGTAATTCACTGGTGTACATATGTCTGTGTTTATCATTTCCTAAGCTTTGTAAAAGAACTTCCTTTCTGCCTACCTGCCTGCCTGCCTGCCTGCCTGCCTGCCTGCCTGCCTACCTTTATTCATTGTGGTCCTGGGGATGGAACCCAGGACCTTACAGATGCTAAGCAAGCACCTTACTACTGTACCCTGAAGAATTAATATTTTTTGAGAGAAAGATAAAAACAAATGAAATAAAAATGATACAGAATTTCAAAGCAGGATAATAAGAAATTAACAATATGTAGTGTTTTGCATAATGTTGTCTTCAAAGTAGTTGCTCAGATTACATTTAGGTATGCAAAATTAACCAATATAAGCTCAAATGAATCTTTGGTGTTGTTGTTTTAATTTTATATATTTGGTACAGGGTCTTACTACACAGCTTGGACTCATAATGATCCTTCTGTTTCAGCTTCCCCAGCGCTGGGAATACAGACATGCACCACCAGGCCTGGTTTCAGTGGCCAGCATGGTGTACGGTGTACCTGGGGCAGGGCCAGCCTGGCATGTGTTACCAGGGATTGAACCTGGGTCCTTGTGCTTGCCAGGCAGGTGCTTAGACTACTGAGCTATTTCTGCAGCCCACAAATGGATCTTTTCAATGGACTACAATAATTGGTAGTATAACTATGTTGGCTATCTTGTATGTGTGTGTGTGTGTATTTTTTTTTCCTTTTTACCCTTCCCAGCTATTCTTTCCTTTTAAGCAGTTTTCTTTCCTTTTCTCAATATCTATTGCAGATTTTATATCTTATTTACTCTTCAGTTTCTTAACGCTAGGGAGACAAGATGATGTTTACATGTGTGAGTTTGATTTATTTCACTTATGAAAATGGTCTTTAATGCATCCATTTACCCATATAAGCCTCGAGTTTATCCTTTTTTTAATTTTATTTTTTTCCATAATTTTATTGAGAAATAGTTAGACAGTTTCATATCAAATTGGTAGGACAGTTCCAATGATTAACACACTGCATTCTGTCTTTCTAGTGGTTATTTGTTGTACAAGATGCAGACATGATATCCTATTTACAAATACTATTAGAACAAATCCCTCTGTTCATTGAATTAAGAGAATGTAGCTATATATGTATCCTAACCATTTTGAATACACAGATACAAAATGGTCATTCGTCTGTATTCCTTTTTTTGGTTAGTTCCATCATTTAAATATTATAGGTGTGTTAACTCAGCAAAATATTCCAAAATAGTCCAGTAGTCCATAATAGTATTGTGTCTTCCACTTGACTGGCAATGTCAGAAGTTGTTGACCTGAGTCCTCTACAGCTCAACATAACAATATGGCTTTACTTCTTATACTTCATTTTTATACTTTTCTGCTGGATGGTTAAGACCAAGATAAAGCAAGACCTATGTAAGAAGAATTGTAGCTTTTGGAACTGATAAGGTCAGTCAAATCCCCTCAGGATTAATCCTGAGACCCTGTACCTCAGATTGTAGATCCTTTGTCAGTGTCAGCCATGTGGATGAGTCACGGCCATTGCTTGGCCAATGTGTTCCCTGTGAAACCCTGAGAGAATGTTTTCTCTCCATGTGACTCTCCTTAGGCACACTCTACATTATCGATCACTTTCCTTTTTGGCCCCATAGTCTCCTTGATCAGAAAATTTGGGACACAACTGAGTTACATGTTGTTACAGTACAAGTTCACATATGTCCTGAGTCTTAATGGACCTTGGAAGGCTAGGGCCAAAATGTTGGCTTTCCTTGCGGCCCTCCTTTTTCTCTAATTTTTGGTCTGCAAACTTGGGTTGTTAACGCTCCAGAAGAGAAGCTTATTGTTATTACCATACAACCTTTCTTTTTAATTTAATTTTATTTTGAAGAATAAAAACAGAAGTAAACACAAGTACTAAAAAAAAAAAAGTAACATACAACAATTCATACAGATTTTCAAAACAGGAATGGCTAATTACAATGGTTGTAACATTATTTTTATCAGTTCTTGCTCAGATTAACAGATATAGTTACACAAGATTGGGGAAATAATTGAATTTTGGTGCTTGCTTACAAGAAATCTTAAATTTTTTTCCTTTGCCTGTTTTGTTTTAATTTATTTTTGTTTTAATAAATTGATAATAAATTTTTGTTTTAATTTATTATCAATTAATGATAATTCATAAAACATTAGAAACAGTATGCATGTGGAAGACCAAGATGGGAGGTATTCAACCATGGGTTTTGTATTACACATTGCTGTCCTTGATGTAGTTGCTCAAATAGCAGATACCAGCATAGAGTTAGTCAAGGTGAAAATTCTAAACATTAAATGCTATTTTCAAAAAATCTGATGGAAATTATGAGTGCAATCATCTCAGCCATCCTGTATATATACTTGCATGTTTTTCCCTCCTTTTTTCCTGTCTTTTCTCCTTTCTCTCATCTTCCTTGTTTAATCCTTAAGTTCAGTTTCTTTCCATTTTACTATATCTGTTATACCTTTCAGGTTTTATTTCTTTTCTCAGGTTCTTACACTATGGAGACAATACGATATTTACACATGTGGGTCTGATTAATTTCACTATGAGTATAGCCTCTGATTGCATCCACTTAAACCTATAAAGGCTTTGAATTTTTCTTTATAGCTGAGTAGTACTCCATTGCATAAAAATGCCACATCATTTTCATCCATTCCTCAAGTAATGGGCATTTTGGTTGTTTCCAAGATGAGTTTATCTTTCTTTATTAGCTCCATTATTAAAAAAAAAAAAAAAAAACACCACATCTTTATTCCTTGGTTGATATGCATTTGGCTTGTTTCCAAGACTTAGTTATAACAAATTGTGATGGTATAGACATATCACTGTGACATGTTTTTAATTCTGGGAAAATACCTAGCAGAGGAGGTATTTTGGGAAAATAACTACCTGGGTCAAATGGGACCTCTAGTTCTAGTTTTTTGAGGGATCTCCACACTGATTTCCACAGTGGTTGTACCAGTCTGCACTCCCACCAGCCATGGAGAAGGGTTCCTTTTTCCCTACAGCCCCTCCAGCATTTGTTATTGGCTAACTTCTTGATTCTGGCTATTCTTTCTGGAGTTAAAGAGAGTCTCAGTGTTGTTTTAATTTGCATTTCTCAGATAACCAGTAATGTTGAGCATTTTTTATATATTTATTTGCCATTTATATTTATATATCTGAGAAGTATGTATTAATTTCTGATGCCCATCTTTGAATTGGGAGGGGGCTACCCCTATATTTTCTAGATTTCTGCCACTATTTCCAGTAGATTTAGGTTTTATTTTAATATTTAGATCTTTGATCCATTTTCACTTTGGTGCATGGTGATAGACATGGGTCTAGTTTTAGTGTTCAACATGTAGAAAGCCAGTTTTTTTCTAGCACCATTTGTGAAAGAGATTCTTCCACTGAACAGTTTGTCCTCTTTGTCAAAGATAAGATGGCTGAGTATTTTGGAGTTGTGTCTGCACTTTTCTAATATATTCCATTATCCTCAGGTCTATTTTTTGTTTTTTGTGTACCATGCTGATTTTACTGTAGCTTTGTAATATAATTTCAAGTCAGAGATTGTAATGCTTCCTGCCTTGCCTTTGTTGCCCAGGGTTGTCTTTGCTATTTTAAACAGGTCTCTTTGGTTTCCAAATGAATTTTAGGAATGTTTTCTCTAGATCTATGAGGTATGCTGATGGTATGTCCATTTTCACAATGTTGGTTCTTCCTATCCATGAGCAAGGGCTATCTTTTCATTTTCTGATGTCCTGTTTGATCTCCTTTTTTAGAGTGTTATAATTTGCAGTGTGTAGATCTTTTACTTCCTTTGTTAGATGGATACCCAAGTATTTCATTTTTTTGAATGCTATAGTGAAGGGTATGGTTTTCCTAATTTCTTAGTTTGTTGTTTGTGTACAGGAATGTTTTGATTTTTAAGTGTTGACTTTGTATCCAGCTGTGCTACTGAATTTGGTTATTCATTCTAGAAGTCTTTTCATGGAGTTTTGGGGTTTTTTATGTAGAGTATCATGTTATCTGCAAATAATGATAATTTAACTTCTTTCTTTCCTATTTTTATTCATTTTATTTTATTTTTTTCTCTTATCCAATTGCCCTGGTTAATATTTCCAGAACTGGATTGAATAGGAGTGGTGACAGTGGATATCCTTGTCTTGTTCCTGATTTTAAAGTGAAAGCTTTTAGTTTTTGTCTGTTTAGTATGGTGTTGGTGGTTGGTTTGTCATAGATGGCTTTTATTATGGAGCTCTCACGTGTCCGACATATAGTGAGATGAAGACCATCTGTTCTGATTTTCTGTAGAGTTTTTATTCTGAATGAGAAGTGGACTTCATCAGTGGCTTTTCCTGCATCTATTGCGGTGATCATGTGATTTTTATTTTGTACTGAATTTCTGGGATGTTGATTATTATGTCTAGGTGTAAATTTATTTTGGTTATGGCTAAGTGAAGCTTTATGTGCCTCACTTATCTCTGAATGTCAGATTTTATTCTCATGTTTGGGAGATTTTCTGCCATTCTGCAAATAGTCTTTTTATGTCTCTTGTATTGACTTCTGCTTTTTTATTGACAACTATCAGTTTTATAGAATATTTCTTTGTGTCATCATGCAGCTGTTGAATTGTTTTATCTTTATCCCTTGTTATATATCTCCAGGGATTGAACTCAGGACCTTGAGCTTGCTAGGCAGGCACTTATTCTACTGAGCTATCACTGGCTTTTTTTTTTTTTCTGTATTTAGGACAGAGTCTACAGGGTCTCACTATGTAGGTGGACACGTGGATTTGTTTCTTTTAGTTGCTATAATTTCAGAGATTTCAAATGTGTGTCTTCCAGTTTCTTCATGTCGCTGTCTCAAATTGC